GACTTGCACTAATTACCGCTGGTGACACCTTCGACACCTTCCAATCAGCTAAAACATACCTAATTATGCCTTGGTAACATTTCGTTTGTACTCGTCGATCTGCGCAATAGTCGCCATCTTATATGAGACTCATATATCCCGCGCATGCGTGGCGTGACAACTACCGCCCTTTAATGTGTTTATTTATAAAACACTTAACGTTATTTTAAAGTGGGAACAAAAATGTTTCCCATTTTAAAACTCCTATAATTTACGGTGTCGCGTATATCTATGTCTCGATATGTAAATAGGTGTAATCTATATTCTAATTAATTAATCAAATGAGTACTACTCATTAAATTCCATAACTTTTTTTCAGAAATTGTAGATGTTGTATATGTGAACAAAACCTTGTTACCAATTTTTGTGCATCCAAAACTACGAACATACTATTTAAAATAATTACTTTACTTCAAAAAATCTCTACTGTATCCATTATTAACATTGGATGATTTGTTTAATTATTACGATTTCGTTGGCGAGAAATCGACAAAAGACAAAGATAGAAAATAAGACATAACGAATTTGACGCTTTAAACAGAAATAATAATACCATTCCAACAAATGTTTTTCTCACACAGTGATATTATATCTGTGACCACGGCTGTATATATTGTTCATTTTTAGAAACATCGGGCCGCAGAGAGAGTATTTTTTCACACACAAATTTCTCTGCTAAGATTATGTGTAATGATATGAATAACAGTAGCTGTTCAAGCAATGCATTTACTAGAATGTGATACAGTGGCATATTTTAAAGGTAATTTAACGCGGTTGGCAGTGTTTTATTTCAATAATGCATGTAAGTAGTATCGTTCTGTGCGATTAGTGAGATTGATTCTGTAAAAATATCTAAAGCTTAATAAGCGTAATCCTCCATACTGCCGTGCTGTCAGTTACACAAATACACTCAGTAAGGTGGGTTACCTAATACATTCCACGTGGATTACATTCGGTTGGAGGTAGATATAGATCATTCGGACATATCTAAACGTTCATGTTGATCGGGTTCACCTTTACTAATACAAACTGAGCAACTCAACGTTTTACACACAGTGTTTTGTCGGTTAACACAACATGAACGACACAGCGCAAGAGCCACCGGATGTTGAAGCAGTTAGGTTCGTACACATATATTGTTAGAGTTGATTCCAATGCGTATTTTATGTTTTTATCATACAAAAATAAAAAAAATAAAGATTGCAAATTTATTGATATTTGTAAAAACAAATTTACAACACATATTAAATTACACAATTATCAAGGCAGTATTATGTGTACGTGGTGTACTTACAATATCATATTCGTTTGTTAAGTTATGTTATAGCTTCACACTAAACACCGTTTGTTCACACCTTTGTATGTGCATA